CACAACACCCCCTTCTGTCACCCCTGCCCTCAGGGATTCTTCAACGCCTGGCCTGGCCAGGATGCCTGTTTCCCATGTGGCTCAGAGGCCACCCAACCAGAAGAGGGCAAGGACACGTTCGTCTGCCCAGGGCCTGGGCGAGTGTTCCAGGTATGTCCTCTGGCAGTGGGACCCAAGGACAGGCTGCGTTTCCAGGGCTGTTTTGGTCTCAAGTTCAGCTCAAGTGTAACCTGACCAGGGTTAGCTCAGGTTTCCAAGTGACTTGGGGATAGGGTTGCCAGATAAAATACAGGGTGCCCAGTTGAACTTGAATTTCAGATAAATTATGGATAATTGTTTGGTATAAGTATGTCTCAAATATTAAATGGGACATACCTATACTAAAAAAGGATTCATTGTTTATTTGAAATTCAAACGTAACTGGGCACTCTGCATTTTTATTTGCTAACTCTCGCAACTCTAACCAGGAGGACAGGGCCGGCTGTTGTTCTCCACCATGACCTCTCTGAAAACACACCCTGGCCCAAGCCCTGCCAACTTGAACTTTCCCTTTAAGCCAAAAAATATGCATGTGAATTCTTCCTTTCCTGAAATTCCCAGGTCTGTTTGACGGAAATGGTAGCACCAGCTGGACCCTAACCAGCACGTGGCTGTAACCTTCCCTCTGATCTGACTCCTCTCCAGCTCTGTTGATCCCTCACTTCCTCTCCCCTGCCCTTATCTTCTGGTCCATCTCAGGCAGGGTCACAACAGAAGCATTGTGTGTGGTTCACCACAACCAAGTACTAACCAGCCAAGCGGAAACTGCTTTCCCTCCCTCCCCAACCCCCAGCCCAGTGATGGGCAGTGCCCCTGCCTCCCAGGCTACCAAGATATTGGAGAGCCAAGGGGCTGTGTCCAGCGAGAACACAAGAACTGCAAGGATGGGGCCACCTGGAACCAGGAGTGGCTATGTCTGACCAAGGATCAATGGAGTGACCACTGTGCCCACAAGGTAGGAGGCTGCCACATATTGTACCTCTTGCACTCCTGGCCTTCTGTCCAACGATTCACATGCCTAACCTGCTAACTGCTGGATTCATTCCACTAATCTCTCTCTAAAAATATGGAGACTTGTGCCCTATACTCTGAAGCTGGGGAGAATTGGGGAAAACCTCCCCCAGGAAGGTGTCCCCAAGAAGCTTGAGTCTTTGTGCAGGTGTGTGTTACGCCGGGAGATGCCCATGCCTATGACCCAGGCCTGGGGCTCTGTCTGTGCTGGGAACAACGTTCAAGTGGAATGTGTGGCCCCCTGTGCCCAGAGACACAGAGACACGCCCTGCAGCTCAGCTGCTCTGAGAGCGTCCCACAGATTTCCATCACTGAAGGCACGGGGAGCAAGGTACAGTGCCCTGAGGTTCAACCCTATGCTGAGCCGGGGCAACTGCAGAGAGTGCAGATCCAGCACCTGTGGCCTCTGCCTCCTGACAGCGTGTGTCACACGCTTGTGCATGGGGCCCAGGGCCCTGCTCACTGACCCACAGCGCTGGCACAACCTCTGGTACCAGAGAAAAGGACTCATTCTTGATTTAATTTCATCCTGTAAAACTCCTTGAAGAAGTCATTGTGTTCATTAAAGAGGGAGAAACTGTCATGGAAATCTTCCCGTGTGAGCAAGGGACAGTACCCAGAGTTACGACTCCAGCTTGCCCCTACTCGCACAGAGCTCTTAGACCCATTCCCACCCCCACCTCCCCTCCAACCCTGTCAGGACACTCAGACAGGGCTCAAGGAAGGCCCTGTGCTCTCCTCATCTCCCTGCCGGACCAGTGTGCTACTCACAGTGTCTTTTTTTTTTTTTTTTTTTTTAAAGATTTTATTTATTTATTTTTTCTCCCCACAAAGCCCCAGCAGATAGTTGTATGTCATAGTTGCACAGCCTTCTAGTTGCTGTATGTGGGACGCGGCCCCAGCATGGCCGGAGAAGCGGTGCGTCGGTGCGCACCCGGGATCCGAACCCGGGCCGCCAGCAGCGGAGCGCACGCACTTAACCGCTAAGCCACGGGGCCGGCCCTACTCACAGTGTCTTAAGGGAAGACCTGACACTGGGTCTCCCCTTCCCAGGAATTTTACCTTCTGGACAGGCCTTCCTCACCACATGCTGTGGGCCATCCCTGCCCCCCTGGACCAAGGGCAGAAGCCTGTCCCTCTTTATGTGGTCAGGATGGACGGTAAGAGAGCTGGACAGAGGGAGGCCCCAGGGAGGCCTGCAGCTCAGGACCACACATGGGCAAGACTTGCCCTTACCTGGCATAAGCGTTGCCCTTGCAAGCAGAAGCTGGGGGGTGATAGGCAACATCTCCCCCAGGGAGGGCTCCCCAAGAAGTGCATGTGAATTCTGACCCCTCAGTTTTTTAGAAAGTTGAATCCTGCCGTGTGCAAGTCAGGGATGGACAGCTTCTGTTGTATCTATGCACTAGGAAAAACTCTCTCCCCAGGTCTGCAGGTTCAGGGAGATTCTGTCTTGTTCTAGGGACGGGCTTCCTGGGCCTGACCAGACCAGGTCATGAACTTCTGCACTCCCTGGGAATGCCCCTCAGGGATCCCGGGCTCCCAGGCCAGGATGCAGGTGAGCATCACTGCTGACACCTGTTGCCTCTCTTCTCCCTCCTCCACTCTTCCCAGATCCCAGCACGAATCCATCTGAAGAGTGGCTGCTCTTTCTCATGTTCTGAATCTTCCCAGAAAAGTCAAGGGAAGGACATCTGAGCTCTCCTTGGTTGCTGAGCCTCAACTCCACATGCCTTGGAGATCCGTTGCCCCCAGAACTGGGCATCCAAAACCCCACAGTCTGCCTCCAGACCAATCATACACTGGCCTTCCTGGTGACCTGTGAGCATTCCCCTGAGTACAACCTGTGAGTGTCCAGAGAACACCACCCTGCCACCACCAAGGCCCTGGAGAGGAAATGCTCCTGTGCCTGCAGCCACCTCCAAGAGACAACACACTCCCTCTTTTTCTATCCCCAGAGGCCACTTCTATAACACACTGGAGGAATTTGACTGGGGGCGCTTCCGGGCCCTGGCTGAGGAGTCCCAGCGCCAAGATCAAAGCCCCTACCTCTTTCTGCAGCAGTTCCAGCAGCCTGGGGTCTTTGTCTTTCGTCTGAGCAGCAATCGGCATCGGAAGATGGTTTGTCTATGATGGTTTGCCTCATTTAAGACATTATCCCACCATTTCCCCTCACTTTAAAAAATATTGCCTCCTGACCATCCCAGACAGATCTCCAAGGAAGGAGATGCCCTGGATGCTTCTATCAAGGTTTCAGTATCAATCCTAGCAGATAATTCTGGGGACGCCAAAGGTTCACTCCATAGCAGCCCAACACATGATGTGTAAGGAGGGGAGGACTGTGAGGATGACAACACAGTGCGTATCTAAGGACATCGGAATGTCTGGCCATCTCTCAGGGCCCTCCACTTCATAGCCCCTCCCCTTCTTTCGTCCTGAAGGCACAAATCCTAAGCCATCTACACAGGCTTTTACACATGTGATCTGCACATAATGCCACCACTGATCCAAGTGCACTGTCTTGGTCACACACAGGGTCTAGTATCTTGATCCATCAGCATAACTTCTAAGAGGTTGTGCTGACCCAGCCCTGGAACATACAGACAGCTCCTCAGACACTTATCTGATGTGAATTCATTTCCCAGGGAAAACCCAGATTCTGGTTCCCCCAGGTATGCGCAAAGATCTGGACCATTCGGTTAGTGTAGACAGGCCTGGGTCCCCACTCTGTCCCCTGGCCGGTCTCTGGCAGACAGTGAGACAAAGGCTGAACAGACTTCTCTCCACCCAGTACATCCGCACCCTCCCGCCAGGGGGCTAGTGCTTTGCGGAAGGGCCCTTTGTCTCCACAACTCCCAGGTATCTGATCCAAACGGGCATCGCCAAGATTCCCAGGCGCCCGAAGAGGTCTGACTGGCCAGGAGTCCTCGGGGAGATTGTCCTGCTCCTGGGGCTCTGCCTGCTTCTGTTGGTGAGTAAAGCTGGACAAGTGACATCTTGACCGCTGTGGGTGTCCCAGTCCCCATTTGCAGTAGGCATTATAATAGTTGCTAAGATGCAAAAGGGACAAAGGTGCAGCCTCAGGCCTCCCGTGGTCAACGTTTAGAAGGAAGAATATAGACAAGGAAACAAATAAATGTCAGCCAGTGTTAACGGAGTATGTCCACATAAAATGTGTCCAGGGTGCCCTGGCTGCACAAAGGACAGATTGACTGTTCTCCCTAGGGGGGTCAGGACAGACTTTTACAAAGTCTGTGATCCCTAAAAGAGGTTTGAGATATGAGATGTATAAGAATGTGGTCCCTGTGCTAACAAAGGGGTTGGCGAGCTGGGGTGAGGGGAGGGTAACACATTTGGGAAGAGTGGTGGGGATGAGAAAGGGAGTATTATGAGCAAAGGCACAGAGGTGTGAAATGACATTCACCTGCTCAGGGAACCAAATGTGGTCCTCTGTGACTGCAGTTTAGGGCGCAAGGACAGGAATGAGCTTGGAACTGAGAGAAAGGCCAAATTGTGGGTTGTCTCATGGGCCCTGCTAAAAAGCTTGGACTTTATACTCTAGGCAGTGGCAATTCATTAGGAATTTTGAGCAGGGGAGAAACCCTGGTAAGACTTTTACTTTTACTCTAGCAATAGGGTAGAAGACAGAGATGGATTAGAGAGGAGAAAGCTACAAAGAGATAAGCTGTTAGAATGGTCCAAACGAGAGAAGATGAGGTGCTCCCTAACCATGGCTAAGCAGAGATCTTCCTTCTCTCAGAGTCTTCAAACAGGATGCTTCTCACTCGGTTTCTCCTTTTCGTTCACACCACTGCATTATGTACCTTGTAGATTCAGTGTCACAGCCTGAGCTGGGCCCGGAAGGCTGCTCCTCACCCCACCTTTCAGAAGCATCAGCAAGGATACCACCTGGATGCCTACACTTTCCCAAGAACTGGGATAACCTCAGTGAGGAGAGGCCAATCACACCAAGACTCTGAAACCCCCAGAGTTGAGGGAGGTCACGGTGAGTGACAGACTTGGGCTAGAATCCCAGAGGGGCCCCCAAATCCACCTGGCCAGCTCCTGCTTCCTTTGTTCATCTTCCTAGATTACTCATTGTTCCATTCCTCTCCATTCATTCATTCGTTTGCTCAGTAAATATTTACTGAGTGGCCACTGTATGCCAGACACTGCCAGGTTCTAGGAGCACACAGTGTAGAGAGGGATAGAGACATCGAAATACAAACTGTCCAAAAGAAAGGCACAATAACCATGTACAAAGCTAGGAAATGACGAGTACTACCTAGAGGAGCGAACTGCAGAAGGCATTATGTGTCCTGCGGAGGTGTTTCACCTTCTACTCAAAGTATGGTCCTCAGAGAACAGCGCTGGAGTTTGTTTGTTCTTCTCAAACTTCAACGTGATTATGAATTACCTGGGGATCTGCTGCTGCAACAGGTCTGGGATGGGGCTTGGAATTCTGCGTTTCTACTACGTTGCTCAGCAAAGTTAATGCTGCTCATCCAAAGACCACACATTTAGCAGCAAGACTGCGCCTAGATGGTTGAGGATCTGTAGGAAGAAGGTACATTGAAGATCTGTAGGGCAGCTCATATTTGCATTTCAGGAGGATAATCCTGCTTCCATTCCTCTGTAGGTGGGAGCTGGGAGGCCGAGGCGCAGGTAGACCTGGAGTGGTTTGACACAGAAACCTTCTTTGGGATCCTACATAGGCAGTCTCTGTCAGTGATGACCACAATCAACCAGACCAATGAGGAGGTAAGCAGAGAAGCTGGAGAAGCAAGTGGAGCCAGAGACAGGTTTGTCTCTGGGAGAGCTGGTTATGGGCCACAGACCATGAAGAAATCCTCAGTCTACCCATAATCAATCAGAAAAAAAGGGAGAGCATATGGGGAGGGGAGAGAAAAGATTAAATTCTGGACTGATATTATGAGACGTAGGGCCTCAGATCAACGGTAGGGAATCCACGAAGGCCACCTCTGGAGTCTCTTAGATCCCCATTCCCGGTCCTTAGCCCAACTGGGTGAGAAATTCAGGCCAGTAGGTGACAAGTCTTACGAGCAAAAAGAACACACTAGAAGTCCAAGTATCAAAACTTTGCCAGGCGTTCCCCAGGCAGAATGTGTGAGCTAGGACTTGCCGGGATCTGCCTGGGCTGGTCTTCACCCATTCCTTCCAACCGTTCAGGCCTTTTGTCCTCTGGCGTTCTTCCACAAACTGGCAGCAGGGGGCGCTGCAGTCACAGCAGCGAAAGAGGCTGAGTGGCTCACAGAACTAAGCTCACAGGCAAACACGCTCTCTCACAGCTCAAACTCCTCTGCCTCAAACTTGTGAGCGAAGCCCGTTCTCCCCGGCAGCTGTGGGGTGCTGAGCGTCGCATCCCAGCCTCCGCTGACCAGTTTCGAGGGAGCCCCCAGAGGGAGCAGCAACAGGTTGGACTGTGTTCACACCTTCCCATCTGGTCCCTTGTGCCCAAAGGCAACTCTCCCCCCTCACTGCGGCCCGGGCTCCCCTGTTAGCGCCTCTCCCACCTGTTCCATCTCTCAGGCTCCAGAGTTTTTAGCCCCACCCCCACCCCTGAGGATTTCTCACCCCCTTTGCCGCTGCTGCCGTGCCCACCCAGAATGCTCTGGAGTTCCCCGGGAAAGCTGGTGTCCAGTGCCCGAGGCTGCTGTCCCTGGAGGCTGTAGCCCCTGCAGGTGAGCAGGCAGAGTTGTCTCTGACGCCAGGCTGCTGAGGCCGCTGCCAGGGCTGCAGAGGAGGCGGCCAGGCAGAGGGGGCACCTGGCAGGCGAGTACACAGCAAGCCTTAGTCACCAACTGAAGCTCCTTCGCCAAGACCTCCGTGCCAGGCAGGAGCAGTGGGGCTCCTTCTGCTCAGCGCTGATGGTGGCTCAGCGGCTGCTGAAGGCACAGACAGGCCCCCGGCCCGCGAAGTCCTCCCAGGCTGGGGAGAACCCAGAAGGGTGTGTACCTGGTGAATCTGAGAGAAGCTTGGTGACATCTGCGCTAGGGGAGGAGCAAATGTGGCTTTGTGGGATCCCGGAACTGGCCACACCAAACTGTCCTTTTCCCACTCCTAATTGCCCCTCCCCCATGCCCCTTACAGGAAAGTCCCCCAGCTGGACGCTGCCCTGGGCCGCCTGTCCCAGGCTGTGCTGCAGGAGGGCCACCGCCTGAAGGCCTGGGGCGTCCTGGGCACCGGCACTGGGGCGGAACTGCTGCGGCCAGGTGAGCAAGCCTCAGCCAGGGCCCCCAGGAAACCTGGCCCTGCGTTCAGGGCAACAGGCCCTGCAGAAACTCGAGTCCCACCCTTAAGAAACCCTGCAGGGGAGGAAGGGAGGAGGAGGGGTAAACACAGTGGAAACCCCCGAGGCTGGGAGGGGCTTCCTGTGCAGCGCCCTGGGCAAACGTCTGTGTTACAGAAGAAGGAGCCTCCGAAATGGGAAGAGCAGAGGAGGAAACAAACAACACCATCACAATAATATCTTTACATATAAGGTAGCACTTCCTGAGAGCAAAAGCCTGACAGATGAATGCACAGGGCCAGGTTTGGAAAATACTGGACTTGTCTGGCAGGAAGAGTGGGAGAAGGATCCCCTCAGGGACCTCGTAGGCATGCTGAGTTCTAGGAGTCTCCCAACCCCATCTGGTCACCCCATAGGCTGTCACAACCATTTCCCAAGGCCCTCGAAATCACTGCTGGCCTGCAATATGATGATGTCACAGAGTCATGTCCCAAATGTGGAGTCCCAACCTGGACTCAGCAAAAGATAAGGTCCCTTTCCTTGGGACGCATGTGCTACACCTCGGTGCTGGGGTGTGGTTGGGGTGGGGTTCTCCCAACTCCTTCCAGTCACCAGCAAAGGGAGCCCGTAGTTACCCTGCTGGCCTCAGACCCAGGGCTGAGGAGGCCTTTGCTTTCCAGCAGCCTCAGCAGGCCCTCAAGGGGGTGCCGATGACATCACTGTGAATCCCGTCACCAAGTTGATGGTCCCTGGCCCCAACTGCATGATGCTTCCAGCCAGTGGTCACACAGGGTCCGTCCCCCCTGGCTACTTCATCCACCCTGATACTGGGTGGGTGCTGCTGGAGGCTGGAAATCTGGGTTATGATCTGCACGAAGCTACCCTGGTGCCCACCACGGACTCCAGTTCCAGTGAGACCCTGACTACTAAGTAGCCCCAACCCAGCCGAGGGCTCACTAGGGCCCTCTTGAATAAACTCCCAGGGGGCACAGCACAGGAAGCAGGGCTCTCTTCTTGGACAGTGGGGCTTGATGCCCAGCAGAGCAGTAACTGCCTTCTCCTCCTTCCTCAAAAACATTCTTGCTGCAGAGGGCGCCGTGTTGAAGAGAGCTGCTAGATGAAAGAAAGCTGTGCCCGAGGCTGCTCTCTGCCCATGCTCTGCAGGGCTAGGGAGGGAGGCTGGCACGTCAAGGGTAACAAGGCCTCCTTGTCTCCCTGTCCAGGTGGCGTCCGAACATCAGAAGCTGCCATCCTCCCCTACGTGCCCTACCCAACCTGTCCTGCCACAGGCTCCCCTCCAGCCACCCGCCTGCCTTCCTGCAGCCAAGAAGGACATCACAGCTGGTGGCTCTCATGACAGACCCCATAACTGGCATCGAGGTGCCTGTGCTGGCTGTGACTCTGCACCCCCAAACAAGGCAGTGGCTCACTCTTGGGGGGGCATACTGCAATCCCCTCACCAAGACCTTGGTCCCTCTAGAGTTGGGGGGCCCCATGGAGGACCCAGTCACAGGAGGCATCTCACCAATCCTGGGAGTCGGATTGGATGAAAACACAGGTCTCCTGGCAGCCCTCAGTGCTCTCCTCCCACCCTCTCCTCCCTGCCTGGCCTGGCTTCCCAATCCCCTCCTCTCAGCCCCCTAGACCCTCCGTGTTCTGGTCCATCCCAGCCCCCTCTTTCCACCCTTCATCCCCACTCTGCCTCTTCCTCCCACCTTCCCTCTCCTTCCTGGCTTCCCTCACTCCTTCCCCCTCTCCAGCACAGTGCCCCCAGGGAGGAAAAAGAGAACTGAGCTGGTTCTGCAGTAAAAGTAATTGGATGTTTTTCAACCAAGAAGCAACGTTCCTCCTCCTGCCACCACCACGTGCTCTCCCTCTGCCCTCTCCCTCACCCCTTAGTCACCCCCACCTCCACAACTTCTGATCCCCCACCCTTGTCACTCTCTCTGCCCTCAGGCCATAGTTCTCCCTCATGCCTCATCTGCCTGCATCTCTGGTCCTTCCGCTTCCCACCTCACCCTCTTGGGTTCCTGCTTCCAGGTCATGTGCTTGCCCTGGGAGGGCCATGAGATGCCTCGGGGAACCTCATGCTACCTGGTGACAGCTTTGTGGAGCCGCTGAGCAGGAAGACAGTCCAGCTCCAGGGGACTTCCCTACAGGAGGGCCAGACATTGCCCCACATGGGAGGGCCACAGGCCCTGCTGGATGCCAATGTGCTGGTGGCCCAGAGGTGAGTGATTACAGTGCTCCAGAGGCACCAGGAGAGGCTGGGTCCAGGGTCCCTGGGCTTCTGGAGGCTGCCACCAAGGACATGAGACACACACTGGCCTTGAGTCTGCACCATGTCCTGCAACAAGCTCAGAGACTGGAGAGACAGCTGGAGGCCACGGAGGGCATTGAGGCCAGCTGTGGGAGAATAGGTACACGGTGATCTGGCAAAAGCTCTCAGGCCCTGAAATCCCAGGCCCAGAATGACCTGGTGCTTCGGTGCTCCTCAGCCCATAAGCCCAGGGACAGGACTGCAGCCCCCTGGCCATGCACACGCGTGACCAAGGGAAGAGAGAAGGAATTCGATGACTTCATGCCCCGACTTCACAAATGCTTGGCTTTTAATCTCTGTCTTTCAATTTCTTGCCAATTCCACTGGGTCTTATGCTTTATGTTTGTAAAGTGTATATTCTCTTGTTATTTCATAGGATCCCCAAATACCGTAACACATTGTGACACCCATTTGACCTTGGGGAATCTGAAGTTCAGAGAGTTAAGTGACTCACCCTACCAGGGTCCTATAGCTAGTTAGCTGCACAGCCAGGCCTGAGGCCTGAGTCTCCTGAGTCCTCAACTCTCTTCTCACTTTTATTCCTGCAACAGCCTTCAACTTTCCGTTAATAAGCTCAGGAAAGGATCCCACCCAACTCCTCTACCTCCCCAACAGCACTAATACAGGAAGGGCAGGGAAAGGAAGTGAGAGTGGCATCTTCCTGGAGCTTATCTCACTCACTCTTTCTAGAAGCTTCTGCCCATGGGGTGACAAAACAGAATGAGGATTTTGGGTCAGAACTAATTTGAGTTTGAAGACCTGCCCCACCGTTTATTAACTCTTTGATCTTGGGCAGGCTTCTAAAGCTTGCTCTGCCTCTGTTTTAGCATCTTTAAAATGAGGATAAAAATTGTACATGCTTCAGATGTTTAGTTGTAGGACCAAATAAAATCTAATTTATGTAGAGTTCTTAGCTCAGACTCTGGCACATAGTAGGTGCTCAAGAATAATTGTTCCCTTCTTTTCCACCTTTTCAGTGTGGCCTGGAAAGTGTCCCCAGCTTCCTGAAGTCCTGATACCGCTCAATTCTTCCCTTCTGAATTCAAAATACTGAGCAGGGCCCCAAAGGAAACAAATGCAGTCTTTGCAGGGAAGCCTCTCTGGTCAGGGCTGTAGCCCTGTGAGCCTGGAAAGATCCTCGGTGTGGCACTTAACCCTCAACTCCTCCTCTCTGTGCCCCCTCCGCCTTATGTTAGGAATGATGTGCTGTCCTGGGACAGAGCTATGGGTCCCAGTCCTATATGGGATGGAGATCCCAGACCCTGAGGGCTCAGGGCTCATGGTGCCCATCCTGGGCATGGAGAGAGATGGGAATTCCGGTGATGCCACACCCCTGGCAGGGTCCATGGAAGATGCTGATGGCAAAGGTAGGAGGGAACTTGGGGCCTCTGAAAGCCCTCGGGGGGTCAGGAATGTGATTTAGCCCTTGGAGAGAAAATCCTGTAAAGCTCAAGAGGGGCACCCTCAGTCTACTCACTCATGAGCCAAGGGGTGCGCTCATTCTGATGCTTCCACCAGGGCTGCTGAGACCCAAAATAAAGGTGCTCAGAGATTCCAGAACCCCAGTACCACAGATCATTTATCCCCCACTGAGAAAATTGGGTCCTTAAAAGACCAGCACTTCAGAAACTCACTACCCTCACCCTCAGGGTGTGTGGCCATCAGGAAGCCCTCTAATCCAGCTCAGGGCCGCTCAAATGGTAAGAGGGGTTTTGAGGGTTCCTGTGGCTCCCTTCCAGCCACGTTTCCTTCTTCCCATGACTACCCTTCCTTTTCTCCCCCATCTCTGTATACTAAAGCCGGTGGTGGGTTTGGCATCCCACAGGTCTTGTACAAATCTCAATTGGGGCTCACGCCTTAGACCCCTTGACAGGGGAACCTGGTCCTGTCATTGGTGCTCGAGTGGATCCCTCTGGCGGAGTGGTGGTGCCCGTTGTCCAGGTGCTGGAGGCCTGACCTCGGGGAGTGAGAGACCCTGACATGGTATGTAGGAGGAGTTCATTGCATTCATTTCTTCATTCACTCAGCAATTACATTTCGAGAACCTTCTATGTTCCCGGCACTGTGTTAAGTGTTGAGATGCAAAGACACCTAGACAGGGCTCCTATCCTCAGGCAACTGGCCATCCATGGGTTCCAGCCATGATTGTGGTTCTCAAGGGTGTTAAGGGAAGGCAGAGGATGGCCATCTAAATCACATGGAGGAAAGTTCAAGGAAGGCTTCCCTGAAGAGGCAACACTTGGGCTGAAACCCAAAGAAGTCAGAGAAATGCCTCAGGGGCCAGCAAGTGTAAAGGTGGCAGGTGTGAGAGCATGAATGTTCCAGGAACATGAGGGAGGCATAGGGGCAAAGGCAGCAGGTGAGGCCAGTGAGGAAGGCAAGAAACAAATCATGAACAGCCTTGTGTGCTTGGCTGAAGCCAAGAAATGTGACTTCTCATGAAAGCTATGGGGAGCCATTGAAGGATTCTAAGTAGACATGTGATATGATCAAGTATGAATATTTTTAAGATTTTTAAATTTGGAAAATATGCAACAATACAAAAATAAAACAAATTATTCATAGTCTTACTACATTTTTATAAAGTATGCAAGTAAAGAAGCTCCCTCCTCCCCATTCCTCTCACTCCATCTGCCACCAACACCCACCCTAGTGCTCCCCTAGCCAGATGCTACTCACCCCTCCTCCAGTCTCTCCCACCAAATGCAGCCACTATTAACAGGTTGGCACACCTCCTCCCAGACATTTTTATGCTTATGTATGTATGTATATAATCAGTATTCTAGAAAGTTCCCTCTGGCAGCAGAGGGAGTGCAGAGAATGGATGGGAGCAGGGCCAGACTGGAGCAAAAAGCCCCGTCAGGAGGTTATTGCAGTAATTCAGCCATTGGCAGATGTCCACAAAAATGAAAATGATTTAGGGTCCTCCCACATATTCTCAGCCTATGTTTCAGAAACAAAGATAGATATGTTATAAAGCCAAGAAATGTAAATTCTAGTGTCACAGTTGAGTATGAAGGGGCAACATGAGGGGATGAGAACAATTTCCCACTGCCATGTGCCCACCTCCCCTGGCCTCCCAAGACCAAAATGGGAGCAGGGGGACAGGTGACTCTGCAGAGTTCAGGTGTTAGAAGATGAGAGGGAGGGACTGGGAGCTTGAAGAAGGTTTTTCCATCTACAACCAAGTCAACTGCCTCACCAAGCTTAGTCGTGGATGCCCAGGGGCGGAAGAGGCCTAGGTCTCGAGAAGCTTTGGGGATCTTCAGTCAGACCGTGCGGGGCTGTGAGGAGAAAAAGCATATGAGCCCTAAACAAGCTGGATGTTGTAGCTGAGAGCCCGGGAGCAGTACTGGCGCCGCCAGGAACAGGAAGAGGTGCGGCTGACAGAACACCTGGAGGACCTGAGCCAGGAGCTCCTCTTCACTCCAGGCAAAGACTCCAGGCAGCAGGTGAGGCTCAGAGGCACCACCTCACGGTACCCCCGACCCGTCTGACCAGACTGCACAGGTTTCTCTTGGAAGTGTGGAGCCCTTGTCTCCCCCCGACCACAGGAACAGAATCCATCCCAGGGCAGATAAAGTCCCAAGATTCCTCAGCTCCAGGCTCTACATTTCAGCTACTCCTGAGTGTCTCAGCAGGGGAGGAGGGGACAACATGAGGTGGCCCAGTTCAGAGCTCCTGCCTTCACCTCCATGGCCCTTTCTTTTGTGCTTCCCATCTGGTGTAGCGGAGGGCTGCTGAGGAGGCCTATGTAGCCCTGGAGACCCGCTGCCTGCAAGAGACTGAGAGGAGAGCCAGAGCCCTGAACATGCAGAGTGGCCCAGTGCAAGGCCTGCTCTCTCAAGGTGGGAAAGCATCCCCTGGGCCCAGATCCCCAGAGCAGAAATCTCCTAGGAGTGGTGCCATCACCCACAGCTGCCCAGTTGGGAGTCCCTCCTGCTCTCTGAATGTGCTCATCTCCCAGGCTCCAGCCAGGCCCTGGCTCTAACCTGGCAGATTCCTCTGGCTCCAATAAACTACTGTGTCTTTGCTTCCCCTCCCTACCCCCAGAGGTGGCTGCCGCCATGGGGCCCTTTTCTCTGCCCCTTGCAGGAGACAGAGAGGAGTGGGAACAGGAGGCACAAGTGGCGCTGGGCATGGGGAAAGTCCTGCAGAGTTTAGGACAGGCAGCAGAAAAGCTCAGGCAAGCAGCTAGCTGGCTGCAGGGCCAGGAGGAAGAGATGTGGCTACAGCAGAGTAGGAATCAGAGTCCACAGATCTGGAACTGTCCCGGAAAGGTAAGGTTCGGAAGCTGACTAAGGGACCCGCGTGGGCTGAGTACATCCTCCCATGTCATCAGATGTGGCTCTTCAGGACAATGTAATAGTCAGGGATGAGTGGACCCATGGAGCAGTAGATGGCTAGGAGAGGAGCAGAAAGAAAGAGACAGAAGCTCCATTTTCACTTGGGCATCACATTTCCTGTGTTCTAGGTGGTTCAGCATCTCTCTGATGAGCTTCAGGTGGTGGTGAGGGAGAGACAGAGCTTCCTGGATAGGGCCCTCGGTCAATTGCAATACCAACGGGAGCTGAGCCGCCTCCAACTCTTGCACACTCAGGTACCGACGTCTGGACTTGGTCGAGGAGATCTGTATGTCCAACTTTAATGGGGGCTTCAGAGAGAAGCTCCCAAAGCAGCCACATGGGACAGGTGAGAACCAAGCACGGAACTAGGGAACTAGGTTCTGACTATTTCATCCTAGATTGTTGCCTCAGGAACCCCTGTGTGTTTGGAGAATTACCTTGAAGACATATTTTTACGGAACAATCACCACTTCTCTCAGGGACCGGACTGCTGCCTGGCCACTGTCAGTGACCGGGCTGCTGCCTGCTCACTGTTGATCCCCTTCCTGAAGAGCCTCACTGCAGCGCTAGTGGGATCTCAAGGCCATGGCCTAGGATTGGAGGATCAGGGTCCTGGAACAGGTAAGGCTGGTCACGGGTCCAACGTTCCCTGCTGCTGCCAATCCTGATCATGCTTTGATAAATTCTACTACTACAGTTGGGGCTTTAGGCACCATGAGATTGTGACCACAGTAGTTTCTTTCAGAAGAAAATAGAGAAACCTAATGTATTAGTTATACATCACTGTGTAACAAACTACCCCAAAATTTCATGGCTTAAAACAACAAACATTTTTAATGTCACAGTTTCTGTGGGTCAATAATCTGGGCTCAGCTTAGCTGGGGCTCTCTGGCTCAGGGTCTCACATAGGTATATCAAGGTGTCAGGCCAGGGCTGCAGTCATCGCAAGGTTTGACTGGGGAATCCAAGCTCACTCTGGTGGCCATTGGCAGATCTCGAGTCCTCGCTGGCTGTTGGTCAGAGACATCAATTCCTTGCCACATGGATTTCATAGGACAACTCACAACATGGCAGCTAGCTTTCTTCAGAGCAAGCGACAGCAAAAAAAATGGAAGCCACGGTCTTTTTGTATCCTGATCTCATCACTTTTGCCATATTCTATTCTTTAAAAGTGAATTACTAGACCAAACCCACACTCAAGGGGGGTGGATTACACAAGGGCAGGGATATACCTGGGGGGGATCATAGGGGCCATCTTAGATGCCACCTGTCACACGGTTGCTATGTCTGGCTCTTTTGAACTTTGGCCACAGTCCTGTACCCTTACTCCAACAATTGTTTTCTTCCCCTCTGTTCAGATGCAGATAACGTTGACGTCATGTGGACCTCACCACTCTTCTCCAGCCTGAAGAAAGTAGACATCTGGTCCCAACCCCACAAGGAGGGAGCTGAACTGCAAGGACAAGCGCATCACAAACCAGGTGACCTCCTTTCCCTGTAGCCTCTGTTTGCAATTATCATGGCGCACTGAAGGTGGTATAACCTTGGGTTCAATGATATAACCCGCAGGGGCTAGGAATATCAGAATCCTGCTTTGCCAATCATCATTTCTCTCCACCCTCATCCTAAGATTCCCAAAAGATTTTTCCATATAAGGAATAACAAATAGGAATCAAAGTCCCACTGTAATAATAACTTGGCCAGTTCCATAAAGGGAATTCCTAAAGGCTTTCGACCTCCCCACTAAACACTGAATCTAAATCTTGGGATTTTACCCCATACCAGCCAGCCACATGTTACAAGGAGTTCATGATAAAGTATGTGACACAGGGAGATAGACAGAGGAGACCAAGAGAAAGAAGACCTTGCCCCAAAAAGGGACTCCAGATCACTTTACCAGTACCACCCCTTGAAATTGGAAGTCAGAAGAGAATGTGGCTGGCCTGCCCTGAAGAGTCAGGTCTGTTTCAACTCACCGACCTCCCAAGTGGAAGAGGATTAACAGGGAAGGAGTGTATGCCCTTCAGTTGACCACAATTCAGGCCACTAGTGAGCACAGTCCCAAGAACATCTTTGAACTTGACCAGGGGTCAGCAACTACGGTCCCCAGGCCAACTCCAGACTGCTATCTGTTTTTGTATGGCCCGTAAGCTAACAATGGCTTTATATATGTAAATAATTGAAAAGAAAATGTCAAAAGAAGAACAATATTTCTATGGAGTGCTGCACAATATGTCATGTGCTATTCTAAGTCTTTGGATATGTTAGCTCATTTAATCATTACAACAGTCCAGTGAAGTAGATACTATTACTCATTTTATATAAGGAAACTGAAGCTTCTGAATAGGTCGAGTAGTCAAAAATGATATTGCTAATGAGGAGTTCAGCTGGAATTCAATCCCACGGAGTCTTACCCCAGATCCTGTGCTCCTAACCTGCTTCCCCATATGAAGAATTACCCAACGCTATGATGGCAGTGCCAAAAGGGAGATGCAGGCAACATATTCTGATGAGTTCCCAGGAGGGCAGATCACTGTGTGTCAGAGAAGCAAGGGAAGGCTTTGTAGGAGAATGAGGCCACACTTCTACCATGATGAAAGGGAACACTAAATTTGAACCCCAATTTTGCCTCTTGCTGGCAAAGCCTAAAATACTTACTTTCTGCCTCTTTACAGAAGAAGTTTGCTGACCCCAGAACTTGACCCATCTTAGTATTAATTCCACTTCCCTTTGGGGGAAACTAAGAAGAGTACGGGCAGACAGGTGGGCCCTCCTTTGAGGGTTCCCACCACTACTTCAACCTTCATTGTCTTACAATTATATTGACTTTATAATGTTGAGAGCAATTTTATAAACATTGTCTTATTTATACTTGGAAACCCAAACTCTCTGTAAGATACTGGAAGATTATTAACTTATTTTTGTTATAGATGAGGGTCTTACAGAACATGGACCAAAACTCAGGTCTTCTGTTAGTTCAGCATTCTTTCCCATACCATGCTGCACAAGCCTTTTTTCATTGTCCTTTCAAGAATAAAAAGACAATAGAAAATGGTTCAAGACCGAAGGCCTATTAGAGACAATTTTGTGGGGAACTAAGATTGTTAATACAGCTTACATTTACTGAGTGCTTACTGTGCATCAGACACTGTTCTGAGTACATTACATTTAATGCTCCAAACAACGCTATGAAATAGTAGAAGGAAATCAGTTGCCATCTGTTCTGGACACTCATTCTGGCTCCTCTCTTCCTTTTGACTGAGACTCAGTGGCTTTTCCGTGAAGATGGGCAAGAGAGCCTAAGGCACAGTGCATATATAGCACAGGAGGATGGATGGATGGATGGATGGATGGATGGATGGACGGACGGACGGATGGAAATACACCTTTTCCTAAGTTGAATTGTATTATTGTTGCTGTTATTGTTTTTATTAATATCATTATTATACAGAAAAGTCAGTGAAATCATTACTGGTTTCTCTAGATCTCTGTAGCCCCAAAAAGCTCTTTGCAGGATTTCCCAAAACCTCAGATAATGCAGAAGGAAGAGCTGATAACTGTGCAATCCACAGACCTTTCTGCCAGGGAGTTTGTGGTTTACCAGTATGGCCTCTCCATCCTGCACCTCCTCATCCCCCAGATTCACGTAAGTCTGGTTTCTGGCCTCTCTGTGGAGCTGTCATCCATGGTGCCCAGAAGGTCAGGGTGACCAGGAAGGAGGCTTTGAGGAGCTGGATATTCCTTAGGATTAAGCACCTGGAACAGGGATCTTTCTAGTCTCTCCTTAAGGGGACTGATAGGAGTCATTTTACCAATCTAAAGTCTAATCTCTCAAATGATAGTAATAATAATAGAATGAATTAAGCACTTTGTACTTGCCAGAAAATGTTCTAATAATTTGCATGAGTTAACTCATTTAATCTTCACAAAAACCATATGATAGTTACTATTATTTTCTTTCTCATTTTGAAATTGAGGGGGAAAGATACAGAGAGGTTGAGTAAACTTACCCAAGATCACACAACCAACAGGATAGAGTCAGCTTAGAATCCAGGAGTAATGGCTCAAGAGCCCTCATGCCTAACTACCACTCGAACTTACCTCTACTTAGAAAAGTAGTAAACTAATTCTTAGCATAAATGTCAAACACATAAATACTCTTTCCACTGTCCTGTAGCGTATACTGAACCTACTTATCCTGTTACAATTTAAATTGATGTTCCAATGCATTTACTTTCGGTTAATTTGGTTGTATGGGAACCAAAGCTGAGCTGCATGAGAATTTTTTAGCAAAAGGATGGTTTTTGGTTTTGTTTTTATTTGTTTTTTATTCTTTTCAGGCTCCAGAAATCACCCTGCAGATTGCTTCTCATCTTCCTGCTGTGGAAGCCTCTGACAATGCCTTCCAAGGTTCCTTCTTCTATCAGATGCTGCAAATTCAGTCCCAGATGTGGGTTGTAGAATTCTAGGGTCTCCTAAAGATAGACAGAAGCAAAAAGAACAAATGTTATAAAACATTTTCTCTCTCAAGTCCTGACATATTTTTTTCCCCTTTGGTAATAAGTCATTTAGCTAAGGCACAATAAATGTCACCATGTAAGAGCTTTCTCTAATTAGTGAAATGAATATGTCTTGGCTTTTGCCCAAAGAATCATAATGGCTTTGTGCCCATTATTGAATCTCTGTCATCAAAGCCGGTGGTTCCAGACTAGTGTTTCCCATAAGAGTCGTGGTTCCAGCTTCAGGAAATCCTACACAATCAGCATCTTTCTACAGAAAGGGATCTAAATTGTTCCTGTCCTGGTAATTCCTCAAATATGTAGACTGGCAGTGCCTTGGTGGAACTCTAAGCTGGTGTATACAGACCTTAAACACTGATGACAGCACATTGGTAAACAATGATGGTGAAAGGAGGAACTGCTAATCAATGTTAGAGGACTAGGAAATGGTTTATACTTAACTAGTAGGTTGTTAGGGATAGGTTGTTAGGGATAGGTTGTTAATAATACCAAAAGTTACTTACATATGGTACCTTCAGGTATTATTTCAGTTGATCTTCAAAGCAATCTATGAAATAGACAAGAATTTAATCCCATTTTACTGATGGGAAACAAACTCAGGATTCATTGAGTACTGTGTGTCAGGCACTTGGCCATGTGCCTTACATGCATCATCTCGTTTACAACTTACAGCAACCCAACCCTATGAGGTGGGTACTCTTGTTATCTCCATTTTATGAATTAGGGGGACCGGCCCTGTGGCTTAGTGGTTAAGTGCGTGCACTCTGCTACTGGCGGCCCGGATGCAGATCCCGGGCGCACACCGACGCACCGCTTCTCCGGCCATGCTGAGGCCGTGTCCCACATACAGCAACTAGAAGGATGTGCAACTATGACATACAACTATCTACTGGGGCTCT